TTTTTTTTTTTTTTTTTTTTTTTTTTTGACATGTGTTGCCCTCTTAAGTAGGATGTTGAAGAAGAGGACATGGAGAGGAGGAGATAGGTGGCATGGTGATGTTCAAGCCTAAAGTAAAGCTTCAGTAAGGAAGAGGAGTAGTGAGTAGGAGGTGGAGGAGGATGAGCACGATGGGGAGAGGTAGGTGGTATGGTGATGTCAAAACCTGGGGTATTACTTCTCTAACCCTCTCACACGGAGGAGGAGGAGGAGGAGCTCGCCATCACATAACCCAGGCTGAGTAGCCATCAAGGACTCAAGAAAGACAGCAATGTGCGGAGGAGGGGAAGGAACTGGAAGAGGAGAAAAGAAGCTTGGACATTGAAGTAACCGCCCTTAACGTTCATCAAGGTAGGCAAGGAGTCCTGCTAACTTTCACCATGTACTCCTGGTTATTGTGCAACTTTTGCTGAGATTAAAGCTGATCACTCCAGGCATGGCAGTTCTGGCTTTGCTCTCTCTCTCTCTCTCTCTCTCTCTCTCTCTCTCTCTCTCTCTCTCTCTCTCTCTCTCTCTCTCTCTCTCTCTCTCTCCATATTTGTGTATGCCCCCCTTGTCGTATGACAACCTTCTACTTTAAGCATGTAAACTTGCCTTCGTCAACAGTAGCCTTCGGGCCCTTTCCTCAGGGGTTCCTCCAACCTTTAGTCCCAGCGATGCCAGAGCCTGCAGACAAAATACCCGCACAAAGGTTTTTGAAAAACACAACCGGCGTAATTTTTTTAGAAAAAAATTGTACTTAAGATTAAGTAACTAGCAAGTGTTTCCACTGCTGCCCTGTGACCGAACCTCCATATCTCAAAACCATCACACCACCTCATGGGTAAACTCCCGGGACATTTCTGCAGCCAGCCACGCATCAGCAACAGTGAGCTCAACTGGAAACAGTAAACCTGGACATTGTTGCAGCTCTGTAAGCCAAGACTTCCGGAAAGGGTGAAAAACAAAATGGCAAGGATAAATCATACATAGCACCAACGAGCCTACCAGTAGTTCAGTTGGTACACCCACGAACTGTTGAAATACAGACCCAAGCTCGAATCCAGATGCACTACAAAAGAAAAAAGGATAAATCATACAAGTTAATAGCACTCAAAAATGCAAAAACAGAACAGGACTCCAAACGCTTTTTGGGGACAAATGCTCCAGTCTATTCGTGGGGAGCAGCACGTGCTGGGAGCCGGCGCCGTGGCGGTGCATGGCCATTCTTAATTGGTGGAGCAATTTGTCKGGAGAAGAGGGAGAGGGGGGAGGAGGGGGGGGGAGGGGGAGCAAGGGCAGGAAAGAAAATGGGAAGGGTAGAAAACAAAGTGGCAAGGAAAGACAACAAGCTGCCTTGCTGTAGGGACAACACCTAATGGACGGAGTTAGGGGGGTGCAAATTGGACACAACCCCCCCAAAAGGAAAAGATGGGAAAGGGTGGGGAGCGGGGTTAGGGGGGTGCAAATTGGACAACCTTTGATAGAATTTAGAGAGACAAAATAATTTAAACTCTGCAGTCATTTGCCAGCAATAACTGGTTTGCTTATCACGACTTTCACAGGCGCAATTCACCCTACTTGCAAGTTGGGAGGAGATGACCAAAGGACAAAGTTGTGGGTATAGTTTTTGGACCGAGGTACAAATTTTGAACCTGAATTCAGTCATTCAGGCTGGCAACATGCAGTCCTTTCCTTTAACCAATTGGCAAACTTGGCATCGAATTATAGACAAAAACAGTGCTTTCAACCATCAGTACCTGGACGCTTTCTCCGAAACTTCGGCCAGGACATACAAAAACCGAGGTATGGTATTTGGACTGCAACGTACAAGACTCTTCCTGTAGCTGGTTTGGTACACACTCGACAGCTTTCAATAGAAGAAAACCGCCCGTCTGTTACTCTAGACATGTTTGAAAGCGCTGTTTTTGTCTATTATAGACAAAAACAGCGCTTTCAACCATCAGTACCTGGACGCTTTCTCCGGCTTACAACCATTTATGGTTTACGCTGAATTTCACCCTTTTGTAAAGAAGTGTACGTCTAGACCACCAGCAGTTCGGCAGGTACGAGCACGCGTCGCCATAAATATTTCAGTGCAAGTCCTACAGGACCTACCTGCAGTAAAGCAGCCCGCCATGATTACGTGCACGGGTGGGGAGGGTCCCCAAACACCGGGGCCGGCTTCGGGCGCCCCCGCCATCATTATGCGCACACGTGGGGAGGGCCAGATAGGGCAAGGATTGTCTTTTTGTTCCCAAACACCAGCTCCAGGGTGGGATGCATGGTGGTCCCCACCGTGGCCCAATTTTTGCAATCGATATACTGAAAGTAGGGCGGGACTCGTGGTGGTGGTCCCCACCGAACCTCACAATGCCTGCCAGTGACAGGCTAGGAGCAGCACAATGCAAAACTGTGGCCACCAATGCAATCCGATGGTTCGCAACGGTATCCACAGTTCTTTACTGTGGCTGGAGGGTTTTTTTTTCTGTTTTTTTTCCGCATTCCCACCTCAGGTTCGGCAAGTCCAGCCTTGGGCAAAAAAGACGCTTACCTTACCACCACACGCTAGACGAGTGCCCAGCTGATGTTGATATCAAGAGAGGAAATTAAAAAAAAAAAAAAAAAAAAAAGAGAGAGACAGGATCACCAAAATAAATAAGTAAATAAAAATAATAATAAAAATTAAAAAAAATGAAAATAGGTCCAGACCCAGGGGTTGTTATGCCATCCATACTTGGCAACTACTGGCTATTCTCTATTTGTCTATCAACATCAGCTGGGCACTCCTGGCTCCTGACCTGTTTTCAATTTGACAAGCCAGGGGCTGTTATCGCAGGGTTTCACGCCTGGAAGTGGTTTCGAACTGCCAATCAACGAACGAGTCAGAAGTTCAGACACCAGTTCGATCCAATGGTCCCGATCCACTCACTCCTATCACCCACGACAAGCGTGAACGCCTTTGCATGCTAGGGAAGGGGGACCTATGAATAGTAACGAAGTCCGGATACAGTGGACGCCATCTGAGTAGGCATCTTTCGCACGCCAACGCTCTCCCTCCGTGAGTGGACAACAAACAAAACGATAGGAGAAAAACGCAATGCACAAAAAAAAACGCTCTCCCTCCGTGCTAGAGCTATCAATGGGTGGGGTTCATTGGAAGCTGTACAACTTGACGGGCCACCGTTCTGTCTTTCTGGGTGAAGGTCGCCAACCCCCCCCCTTGGTTTTTCTTCTCTGTCACTTTCACCATGCTGATTTGCTGATGCAGGAAGACACGCTTGAATCTCCTTTCCACAGAAATTTTGGCAACAGCTGCATGGATTTGCTTCGCTGAAGTAACAGAAATGGCTCTTCTGGAAGTTATAGATAAAAATGTACCATCCCTCAGGTCAGCGGAGATCGCTCGACAGTCTTAAAAAAGCACTCTGAGAGGCCTGCAAACAGTGGAGGCCCACAGGGATAAACTCATAAAAGGCTATTACAAGCCGATGCATGGACACCCTCTGAGCATCGGGTACAAAGTGGGCTTCCGATACGTGGCGGACGAGAAAGGATAAACCCGAGGCATTCTACCGGGTCGAAACAGGGCCGGACTCCAAAGGAGGTGTCGTCTGAAAGGTACAAGACCCGGCATCAGCAGAACCAGGGGTTCAGTGGAAAGAGATCAACGTAACAGCAAAGCAACACAAGGGAGGAACGAGGCTCCAACGGGTGCTGGATGGCCTCCCCTGTGGAGAATGGAAGCTGGATGTACTCAGAACAGGGTGGAATACAGCCAACGAGTCAAACAATTCAGAGTATACCCCAATCACAGAGTATAAACCCAGCCTCGGTTATGCTCTGCGATCCAAAGCATCGATGCTACACGTCAGCATCCGGAACAGATGGAGAAGAAACAACCGAGTGACTGTATGGAGCTCATTCAACACAAAGCGTAGGTGAGTACGTTCATCCTAGTGCTACTGGATATTTTGGAAGTTAAGGTGAGTGGGTTTCAGTGGACGCACCTCCACGCCTGCGTTCCGACCGCCTCTTGGTGCGCAGAAAAAGGTATGGACATTGGACACCCACCCGTGCTGCGACATCTGCCCGGCTGAATCCCTGGAGGACCCCCCTGACCACCTGCTGTGGGAATGCATGGCGGGCAGAGGTTTCTGAGAATGGCTCAGCAGACTGTGGATTGGAGCATATGGCCGGGGAAGGTGGTGTGGACTGTAGAGTTCGTTCGTATATTTCTGGGCAGCTCAGACAAGAATCACAAGATGATCATTGCTACAGAATTCAGAGAGCACCGGGTTTTCGGATACTGTGGCTAACTTCTTCACCCGAATAGAACGCCCGCCGCCCAGTCATTATCGCTGTCTATAGACTCAAAGGTGCCCCGAATACAGCTATAATGAGTGTACGTTGTATTCGGGTGAAGACGGTAGCAAGGAGAGAACTGAACGCAGATTTAAATGGGCAGTTAGAAATTTGATAGCCGCGGAATGGAGGGAACTCAGACAACCTAATTCGTTGCCTCGGAAAGCAAGACTACAGATACTAGCAAGGTGGTGTAAGTCCTTTAAATGGTTCTCACTTCTTGGATACTGGCCACCTACCGTCTTCACCCAGATAGAACGCCCGGTACTTATCGCCGTATCCGGACTGAAACTTGCGCCAAATACAGCGGTAATGACCGGGCATTCTATTCGGGTGACAACGGTCGTCGTGACCAGGCATCTGTGGGATGAAGCAGAGGAACCAGTTCTTAACTTCGAAGGAAGAGGATCAGATTTGTTGCATGCGATATTTTTGGAATTAAAGCTTCTAGTTTCTTTGAAACTTTCTTAAAGTAACTCCAGGTGCAGAAGGGAGAGTGATTGATGTTCGGTGGGTAAAAAGTGAAAACAGGTATCCCATGCCAGTATAAACAAGTTGCTGCAGGTAATAAAAGATAGGACTAAAGACACACTCTTCTTAAGGCAGCCCCCCCTTGACTGAGAGGTCTGTCCCTCAGTGACTGTCACTGGCAAGAGCCACAAGATAATCTGGGTAAGAAGGGTCAGCAGCATTACTCTCGCGATATGTGGTTCATGGGACGCTGGAACCGCTTTCCAGTAGGTGCAGTTCCCCACCAATAGCATGGAGGCGTCGACATCCGTCCCTCGATAGCAGATGCGCTCTTATCACTCCAGTGCCGAAGGGATCGAAAAGATGTTAGCAACAACCACAAAAAATACATATATATAATAATAACGGGCCCAAGTTGTCACTAAAATTAGCAGGCAGATAAACAAACCTTACCCACAACATGTGGTTAACAAGGACCCCACTTCTTAACCCATTGGTTACCCCGAGCACTGGAAAGGGCATATGATTTGGGGATAATTTTTTTCAGTTTTTTTTTTTTACTTTTGTTTGTGCCCTGTTTTATTTTCGGTCAACTGGTGCGACAGAATCCCACAGATAAGCCTCCCACGCTCTCAAATGGAGCAGTTTGGACGTACTCGAGAGCATAACAAGACCACAACATCCAAGATTCCAAACCATAGATTTGTCGCACATAAAACACGATCCAGGTAACAATTCATTAATTTAACAAAATCTGATCGTTTCTTTTTTTTGGGGGGGGGTGTTTGCTCCACACCTTATCCTTTACAGGACACAAACTCCATCAATTCTCACCGGCTCATGAGAAAGAAGGCTAAAAAACATGCCTGGAGGCTGGAACACAACAAAAAAACTGACACAAGCATGCGAGCACACACACACACACACACACGCACACACACACACACACACACACACACACACACACACACACACACACACACGCGCACACACACCCGGGGATGTGGGCAGCTGGGACTTCTCATGTGTGCTTCATTGTCTGCAATAGAGGTAGAGCTGCACCAATAATCTACTCATCTGGGTGGAACAGTGGTGAAAATCCACAACACACACACACACACACACACGCACACACAATACAGTCACACACGTGCAAAAAAAAAAAAAAAAAAAAAAAAAAAAAAAGACATGCACACAGAGTATAGAAGTAAATTCCAGTCGTTCTCACCTCCTTTAATCTCTCTGGCCTTATCTCAAGTAGTTTATCCACTGTGTCGTAAATGTTCAGATCAATGTCATGAGGAGGAGCGTTCCCATTTTGTGATTGTTGACTGCTTCTCAAAACTGCTCTGTCTTCCCACCCCTGCACACCACCTGCGTTCCAGCGGCTCTCAAAGTCTGCCTCTACCTAAGGAGACGCACATCCAACAGGTGCACACATGCTATCAACAGTTCAACACCTGTGCTACAACACAATCCAATCCAATCCAATCAATCAAGTCCATCGAATCCAACCCAACCCAACCCAACCCAACCCGACCAACCCAATCCAAGCTGGTTCTGACGTGGCGCTGGTGGTCTGAAGGCCTGTCAGGCCTGCAGGCTTGCGAGGCTAGTGCATCCAAGGTGGTTCAAACTTCAAACAGCACTACCTGTAGTCCTTCTGAGGGGATTGCGAGTGGCGCTAGTGCATCCAAGGTGGTTCTGAGGTGGTGCCGGTGCCGTGCAGGCCTGTGAGGCTGGGCATAGCCGTTCGCTGCCGAGTACGAGCGACAACCAGGTCGGGCGTGACTCAGACAGGGTTATTCAGGAGGAGGAAGACTCTGGAGGCTTGTTGAGCTGAGTTTTGAGTTTGTTCAAGGCGGTTTTTTCTTGTTTTTATTGGGTTTTTTTTTTCCGTTTTTTTTGTTTTAATCGTTCATCGACGGCGAGCACGTGCGGAAGGCGTTTAAATTCTCGGTTGTGACTCTTAGCTTATTCTGTCTCTTATTGAGCTTTGAGGAATGGAGGAGGATTTCTTCTTGGCTGAGTTTTGAGTTGTCACCAGGGTTGCATACCTGCCGACTGCAACCGCTGACCGGATTGCAGCCGACCAGTAGGGCCGACCGGTCGGCGATCTGCCGACCAGTCAGAAAACAACCATCCACTGATTTTTTTCAAATCTGAGTTGGGGGCTGTATCGTCACAAACAGAACTGCCCGGTAAACCGTAGGCAGAGAGAGAGAAGAGGACAACAAACGAGGGGCTGTGACTATATATATATATCGTCACAAGCATATATCGTCAAATAGAACTGCCCGGTAAACCGTAGGCAGAGAGAGAGAAGAGGACAACAAACGAGGGGCTGTGGCAAACTGTAATATATATTGTCACAAACAGACATATATATATACAGAGTTGCCAGGCCGAACGTACGGAGGCCCCTAAGCTGACCCCCGAACGTTCGGGCGTTCGGGTCCCCGTACGGGGCCCGAACTTGAAGGGGTTCGGACCCCGCAAAAAATTATTTTGGCACCCAAATAGTATTATTTTTTTCTGAATTTTTTTGTGTGAGTTCTTTGTGATGTAAGGTATCCCCCGCTTAATTTTGAAGTCATTCTGTTCAGCCAAAAAAAAATGAAAAATCCTCAAAGGTGGTGGTGTCAAAACTTGCTTGCCCACTCACAAATTTGTTTTTTCTCTCTTTTCACTTTTGTTTTTTCCTTTATTTCGTGGCATAAAACAATTTATTATTTTTTCAAACTTTATTAGTAGATTCTCTTTTATGTAAGATACACATATATAAATTTTCATGGCATTTTTTACAGCCAAAAAAAAAAGAAAAATCGCCAAAGATGGCGGTGTCAAAAACGTGCTCGCCCACTCAATAATTTAATTCTCGTTTTATTTTTTCTAATTTTCATTATTATTATTTATTTTTAGTATTTGATTTTTATTTCCAATTTGGTAAAGAATTTGGATATAACGTTGAGGCAAATGTTGTTTAGTTTATTCTTCTGCATAACATATATTTTTTTCAGATTTGTTGGAATTCTTTTTTTTTTTTTTTTTTTTTTTTTTTTGGATCCGCATTCGGCCGAACGGCCGAACGCGACGAGAGGGGTTGCCGAACGTTCGGGCGTTCGGGTTCGGGCGTTCGGCCCGTCCCGAACGCCGGCAACCCTGTATAATATATATATATATATATCGTCACAAACAGAACTGCCCGGTAAAACCGTAGGCAGAGAGAGAGAAGAGGACAACAAACGAGGGGCTGTGACAAACTGTTTCGTTTTGTAGTGATGTGACAATATATATATCGTCACAAACAGAACTGCCCGGTAAACTGTAGGCAGAGAGAGCAGGGTGCAGGGTGCCGACGACCCCCGACCGGTAGGTGCCGTCCAGCCGACCAGTCAATGGCCGCCAACCATCGGGGTATGCAACACTGGTTGTCACCCTTAAACCGCCAGTACACGGCCCCAGCCTCGCTGAACCTACGAAAAGTTTGGAGGCTCGGCCTACAGGACCACAATGGCTGGCGGCGCCAGCTAAAAAAAAGGAAAATGTGCGCTGCTGGTGGTTCGGAAAAGCTTGGCACGCAGTAAGGCACCTGCAGGCCCGGGTGTACTGGTGGCTTAAGGATGAGGGATTGCCAATATTCAATTATTGTTGGCTATTGCACTTCCACTGTGCATCTCACTTTCGGGTGTGGTGTGAATTTCTCCCCAAACTAGTCCTATCATCTTCTGCATGTATATCGGTAGATTCAGTACACATGTTTCGCCCGACATTGCACTTCTGCTAGGTGTGTTTCAATCGCTTGCATAATGAGAAGTCGTGGTGTACGGCCACCTCAGTAGACAGGCACTTCAGGACCGATAAGCCCTGATCATCCCTGTCTTCTGACGTGCCCATACAGCAGGGTTTATCCAGTAGGCGCTTCAACCAGGGCTGGGTAGGAGGTCGCCTGTGCGGCACCGGTGCCTGTGACCACGGTCTGGTAGTTCCGCTAGAATGTAGAGGGGGTTGGCGTCCTCGATGGGTTCCTGAAGAGATGGAGGAGGGGCTGCAAGTAGGGAGAAATGCTGAGGTGGGGTTGGGGGGGTTGGGGGGGTTGAGGGGGGGGGCTCGTGGGCTAAACCGAGAAAATGATAGCATTAAAATTTTAAATACAACAAAACAAATCAGGTATTTGCCATGCTGTACTGAGAAAAGCAAAACCTTGGCAGACTACGGGTACCATCTTCCCCCGAATAGAACGTACGGTCGCATGTGGAGCAACTTTCAGTCTAGGTACAGCGATAATGCCTGTACGTTCTTTTCAGCAGAAGAGGGTAGTACTTGCCTCTTCAGGAAAGGCTAGTCCAGTGCTGTTCTAGAAAGAGGACCGTCGACACCTACAAGAGAAAAAAATACAGCTTTCTTCTCCTCGTACAGGGGACAGATGTATTTTTTACCTACCCCATTTTCTTCTCTCTCGCCTCTCACTACCTAGTACCTACCCATATATATGCCCTATCTTTAAGCCCTACAAGGGCTACAAGGGCTTAAAGATAAGGGATCACATCTATTCAGAATAGCAACTACTACCCCAGACAAGAAGCAAGGGATACAAGAGCCTATTCGCACATCAAGGGAACTAGGATCTAAGACTAGAGTCCACCGCCAAGATCTAGGGCTAGGGTCTAAACTCTAAAGTTACCTTGAATTTACTAGCCAGAGCTAAGCTATCCTAAGGCTATGGGTCTACGTCTACCTATCTCTGCTCTGTGCGGGGAGCAGCACCCAAGCTCCTAACACCTGGCACAGGCTGGAAAGAACCGATCACTTCCACAACCAGCCAGGAGGCGAAAGCCAACAATCTGTGCTGGTGAACCCGCAGCATACCCTAGGAGGCCGCGGGGATCGTAAGGACGACGTTGGGTATTGAACCCGTGACCTCCTGAGTGCCACTTGCGCGCTCAACCAACTGAGCTAGCCCGCTTGGGCTAGAGTGAAGACGTTAGTGTGGTGGTTACACGGCAGTTTAGACAGGGAGGACAGATAGCAATCAATATAGCTGGGATATCCCAGCAACTCATAGCACGAGCATATTGAGCTTAGGAAAGCAGAGTGAAGTAGGAAAGATGCAGGCAGAATGAAAGGAGGAGGAGGAGGGGGATGAGGAGGAGGTGTAGGTCTGAGAGACTTGCACAATGGCATGGATGACAGGAGGAAGAAGCAAAGATATCCCCCCATCTTCTAAGGGACAGGAGGAAGAGGAGGAAGAAGAATGCACAAATGCAGGAAGAAGGGGAAGACAGAGGGCAAGGAGGCGGAGGAGGGGGAGGAGGACGAAGAATAGCACAAATGAAGCAATAGGAGGGGGAGGAGGACGAAGAACAGCACAAATGCAGGAAGACAAGAAGAAGAATGACATGAATGCGCGAACGAGTACCTTAGCAATCATCTTGTCGATGTCCTGTAGTGGTTGGGTTCTCGTGTAGAAGGACTGCAAATAGGCAACAACTTCCTCCAGATAATCCTGGTACTGTCTGACATGCCAACCACGATCAAAAGTGGATTAGAAACCGAAGGATTAGAAATCTACAGAATTTAAGAGAATTAGAAAAAGGTTTAAAAGAACCAAAAGAGGCACATTTAAGAGTGGAGAAGGATGGTAAGTCAAGCATATGACAGATCAAGCACATTTTTCAGATAAAGGAACAGTGAGGAGAACAGTAGAGGAGAGAGAGCTCAGCGAGTGCAATGCAAGGGCGGTCATGCTCTGGAGACTGGACAACAAATGGAATGCATCCCCAATCCCAACCCCTAACCACTACATTCTTCATGATTCATAAGTCACCCTCCTCAACTAATCCACCTCCATCCTACTCCACATCGTCCTCAAAAACCTTCTCCACCTCCTCTTCCTCCTCCTCCTCCTGCTACTGTTACTGCTGCTGCTACTGCACAGTAGGAGCTACTCCCTTTCCTGCTGCTGCTAACCTTCCTGCTGCTGCCGCTGCTGCCTCTCGACCACATGGTTGTCATAGTCCTTGTCCTCCACCTCCTCCTGCTCCTCCTCCTCCTCCTCCTCCCCCTCCTCCTCCTCCCTTCCCACTCACCATAATCCTTGTCATCCTCCTCCCGCTCCTCCTACTCCCTCCATACTCACCATAATCCCCTGCACTAAACTCCTTCCCTCTGTCTCCCCATCCCAAATTAAGCACTCATCCTGCCAATCCCCTTCCTGCTCCTCCTCTCCCTCCTCCTCCTCCTCCTCCTCCTCCTCCTCCTCCTCCCCTCTGTCTCCCTATCCCAAATTAAGCAGTCATCGCGCCAATCCCCTTCCTTCCCCTCCTCTTCCTCCTCCTCCTCCTCCTCCTGCCCTCTGTCTCCCTATCCCAAATTAAGCAGTCATCATGCCAATCCCCTTCCTTCTCCTCTTCTTCCTCCTCCTACTCTTCCTCCTCCTCTTTGTTCTCATTATGACAAACTGCAGGGGGGTAATTAGGAGACTACAGAAGCAGAAGTGTGGGTACAAGGTTCTCAGATATTATATCTTTCCCCCCTCAGCCTCTCCCTTCCACCACACGGCCCCCACCATTTTTCCCTCCCTCCCCAAACTGCATTCTCTTGTTTAGAGAAAAAGATGAAGCGGATGACCCAATCCGTCCAAACACTGGGCTATTTGCTGGGAACCCCTATCAATCTTGGTCCGACGAATTCGCACACTGAGGAACAATCCAAGATTCGGGGCAATCAGCGCCAACACTGCAAAATGAATAGAATTTAACTGTCAGTGTTAGAAGAATTCGACTGTCAGATCTTCCATCGCATCTTACGGTAAATATGCTCACAACCCGAACCAGATCCAAGGAGTGTGACACTGTATATTGCTGAGAGACCACTTATTTGATTTTTTTTCCTTGCCCCTTCAAAATCAATTTCCAAAAAAAAAAAA